GAGTCGGTAGAATGGTCCGAGGCTCCGGGGGGGCGGCATCTGGTGTGAAACGCCGAGAGAGAGCGTCCGCCTTGAGGTTCTTAGAGCCGGGCCGGTAGGTGATATGGAAGTGGTACGGCTCGAAAAAGAGGGCCCACCGAGCCTGACGAGGGTTGAGCTGGCGGGCAGTCTGTAGATGGATGAGATTCTGGTGGTCGGTCCAGATCAGAAAGGGATCGGTGGTCCCCAGGAGCCACTGCCTCCATTCCTCCAGTGCCCATTTTATTGCCAGCAGCTCTCTGTCGCTGACCCCGTAGTTCTGCTGTGTGGGGGAAAACTTCCGGGAGAAGTAGGCACATGGGTGGAGCTTAGAGTCTGGACCCCGTTGCGAGAGAACGGACCCCGCTCCCACATCCGAGGCGTCCACCTCCACGACGAAGGGCCGGGTCTGGTCCGGGTGGAGGAGGATGGGTTCCTTTGTGAAACGTCCGACCAGCTCATGGAAAGCACGGACAGCCTCTGGAGTAAGGCGAAAAGGGCGAGGCTGATTGGTGGTTTTGGTGAGTGAGGTCAGAGGTGCTGCGAGGGAACTGAAGTTGCGTATAAACCTCCGGTAAAAGTTCGAGAAACCCAGGAAGCTTTGCAGCTGCTTCAGGGTCGTGGGTAGAGGCCACTGAGCTACGGCCTGAACCTTCTGGGGGTCCATCTTCAGGCCCTGGGAGGAGATGGTAAAACCCAGGAAGGAGGTGGACTCCTGGTGAAACGCACACTTCTCCAGTTTGCAGTAAAGTCCATGGTCCAGGAGGCGGGACAGAACAGCTCGAACATGACGGATGTGCTCTTCGGCCGTGCGGGAGTAGGTGAGGATGTCATCTAGATAGACAAAGACCCAGCGACCCAACATGTCTCTCAGCACATCTGTAATGAACCGCTGGAAGACGGCTGGGCTGTTGCAGAGTCCAAAAGGCATCACCAAATATTCATAGTGGCCAGTGGGCGTGATAAAAGCGGTCTTCCACTCCTCACCTTCCTTAATACGGATGAGGTTATAGGCGCTGCGCAGATCCAGTTTAGTAAACACTGCGGCTTGTGTGATGGCGTCCAGAGCGGTGCCCATGAGAGGGAGAGGGTGACAGTCCCGGATCGTTATTTTATTTAACCCTCGATAGTCTATGTAGGGCCGGAGATCCCCCTCCTTCTTCTTAACAAAGAAAAAACCCGCGGCCCCGGGGGATATTGAGGGACGGATGAATCCCTTCTGCAGGGCATCAGTTATATAATTGTCCATAGCCCGGGTTTCCGCCGGAGAGAGGAAGAACAGGTGACCCTGAGGGGGGGTGGTGCCGGGCTGGAGCCTGATCTCCAGGTCGTAGGGTCGGTGAGGAGGTAACCTGGTAGTGGGTACTTTAACGAAGACCTGAGCGAGGTCGTGGTATTGAGGAGGGATGAGCGTCAGGTTTACGTCTGTGGGAGGGGCTGCTCCAGTCCGAGGTGCAGGGGAGTCCCGGTGGTTATGGCAACCCGTGCCCCAGGCCAGGACTTTACTGGTGGACCAGGAGATGTGAGGCTCATGGCGGCAGAACCAGGAATGACCCAGGATGAGAGGCGTAGCCGGAGCCTGGATGACCAGGAAGTGGAGGGTCTCCCGGTGTTAGTCAATAGTCATGTGGTGACCCTGAGTTCGGTGGGTGAGAGGGTACGGCATGATGGGCCGGCCGTCCACAGAGGTCACGGGAATGGGTCGGTCGAGGGCGGTGAGGGGTATCTTGAGCCGAGTAACCAGTCCGTGATCGATAAAACACTCTGCAGCCCCAGTGTCTAAAAGTGCCTCCAGTCTGGTCGGGCCTTGGTCCAGGTGGAGGGAGACCGGGAGTGATTCAGTGTGGAGCCGGAAAAGTGGAGACTCCGGGCGGGACAGCTCCTACTCCGACCTGGAGGGACCTTTTCCTGGTCATTTTGGGCACGTGCCACGGTGGTGACCAAAATCCCCACAGTAAGCGCATCTTCCCTCCTGGTAGCGCCGTGCCCATTCCTCAGGGGGAAGATGTCCCAGCTGCATCGGCTCCTCCGTCGGTTGGTGAGCCGGCCGGCGGGGTGACGTCCTGGTGTGTACGGGGGCTGACATGGTGCTCGGCCGGTTCAGGATGCAGCGGTCCAGTTGGAGAGCCAGATCCACTGCCAGGTCCAGGGAGGTTGGGACCTCGTGCCCGATCATGCCCTCCCGGATTCTCGGTGACAGTCCCTCCAGGTAAACGGCCTTTAGGGTGGCGTCATCCCACCTCAACCGAGCTGCTGTCGTCCGGAAGCGAGAGGTGTACTGAGCCGCCGTCTGGGAGCCCTGGCGAAGCTGAAGCAGCCGCGTCTCGTCCGAGACCTCGCTGCTGGGGTGCACAAAAGTCTTTTTCATCTCCTTTACAAAAGTCTCATAGTCATTGCAGGCAGGAGATTTCTGATTGTAAAGAGCCGCCGCCCATTCACCAGCTCGACCTGTCAGCAGTGAGGTCAGCAGGGCGACACGAGAGCAGGATGTGGGGTAGCGTGCCGGCTGGCACTCGAAAGTCATGGCCAGGGTCGCCAACATGCCCTCCGGGGATCCCCTGGTTCCGTCCCACTTATCTGGAAGGCGGAGGCGTGGTTCCATCCTGTCAGGAACAGCTGCGGTCTGACGTTGCAGAGCGGTGGTCAGCTGGAGTACTAGCTCGGTGAGTGACTCGATCTTGGTGGCTTGGCGATCAGCTATGGCACGGAGCTGGTTCATTTCTGCCGTATGCTGATCCAAGGTTGCGCGCTGTTGAGCCACTTCGGCACGCAGACGCGCGAACTCCGCTGGGTCAACTTGGGGCTCAGTCATCCTGTCAGGTTCGTTGGCAGATCTGAAGCGTGACTGAGAGTTCTGTTGCCCAGACACGAAGGTAACCGGCGTGGTTATCCCCTGTAGGTTTAGCTTGAGGGTTTAGAGGGCTGGTAAGCCTGGAGACTCGATACAAAGTCTGGTGAGAACGATGACCGAGCACTGAATGAAACGCCGGCACTTCCTTAAGTAGTGTCGGCGTGATGACGTCAATCGCCACGTTGGTGGCAGGAATGAATGGAATGCAGTCAGCTGGAGGAGTTCGTGACAGCTCCGCCCATTATATCGAGGATGCATCAATGCATCCTTCTGCGGAGTTGGGACAGCAAGGTATCCCGTAATGCATTGCGTCGCAAACCAAACAGAAAATGGCAGAGGAGAAAGCTCATAACTGTAGTGTTGTAAATAAAAAATATTTACGTCTAAATAAATAAATATAAAGTTATCTGTTATTGTATTTAATTGTGTGTTATGGTGTTGCCTTAACTAGCTCTGTTTTGATGAAAAATAAACTCTTTCATTTAACAGCAGGGATTGCTGGTATATTATCAATTTTGATCAAACGTGGACCAAATATACAAATATGAAGTATGAATTGTTATTTTGTTAGTCAAGGGCTAAACTAGACTTTTAATTTTATGTCAGATTGTTTTTTAACCGTAGCATAAAGGAGCACCTTTTGCCATGATGTATGAAAGTATGGCTGGGTTCCAAATGTCGTCCTTGTCCTCCCGTATTTGGTAGAATGGACTTTCTTCTGTAATTGCCAAGAATGTTCTTAACATTTACACAAGAACATACTAGTGTACTTGGGTATTGAGAAACGGCATGTTTCCAATCACTCCAGACGTCAAACACAACAACATCTCACTGTCTAAATGACTGGCACAAGAAGCATCAGGCCACACGGCCATCAATCTTTTGAGCGCTGTCCTCTTTCTAACTCTGTGTTACTCGTTTGTTCTGCTTGAAAGTGTCTGTAATAAAAGCCTGCTGTAGACACCAGACAAATCTATTGATCGTGCCTGTCTCTGGGTCTTCTTGCATTCATCTTTTTACTGAGGACATTTAAAACACCTGGTCCTAATCGTTTTATCAGAGACATGTACAAACTCCAACTCCTCTTAGATGTCTTATATGGCTGAAAACAAAAAATATCCTTTAATGTGTCTCAATAGCCTCTGAAGGAGGATAGCGTAGCTCCGCTAGGATCCATTTTATTTACAGTTTGTAAGAAATATAGCCTAAAATATCAAATACAACTCAATCTCAGGTGGAATGAGGATTATTGGACACTTAACCCATCTATTCAACCTAGAGAGAAGATGTCTTCCAGGTCACCTACATGTTTCACTTTTAGCACACTGCAGAGACTTTTGCTTAGTGGGAAGATAGCGATTGATTTAAGATTAAACATTTTTCTTTTTGTGGGAGAATAAAACTAAAATATACTACAGAACATGCAACCCCTTTCCAACAAAAATAATGCTTGGCTCAAATAGGCTGAATTGCAAATCTCTTGCAGACTAGTAAAGCATTTGGTGACGTTATTGGACATCTTAAAATTTAAGTGGCAAAAGAAAAACACAACTTATACAATGCTACATATAATTTTTTTTTGGGGGGGGGGGGGGGGGGGGGGGGGTTCACAGGGTTTTGGAGGTGGATGGGATGATATGAGGGGGAAGAAGCAGGATGGAGGCCAGTTCAGCCAGTCGTGACTGAAATTTGTTAAAATCAAGCAACAGGTTGTGGTCGGATGCCACGTTGCGTAATGCACTGCTACCAAAATTTCCCCAGAAACCCTAAATGCTCCTACAACGATAAACCAAAACAAAAAACACACCCCAGTAGTTCTGTTAGTGCTTAAAGCCATTGTTTAGCCTTCGGTAATCTAAAGGAGACCCCACTGCCTTAATCTGAGGACTTTGCAAAGACCACAAAATCCACCTTGATCAGATTTAGAATATTCTCAGTGTGCTTCGATACATCTGATTGATATTTGTTCCAAACTTATTGTACAACATTGTGTGAACCTTAGTAAAAAAATGCCATTTCAGATGTAAAAGGTGTGTTGTCTTTATCTTTTTTGCCCTTCTGACTTCTTCTGACTTTTCATGCTAGAGGATTATTTCTCAAACCAATGGCTCTGCTTCTTGTTTGTGTTTAGCCTTTTGGAGGGGACGGTTGGTGTGACACCATCAACAATAGGGCATATTGCCAGTATGATGGAGGGGACTGCTGCCCATCCACGCTCTCCACGAGAAAGGTATTGATTTCAGTGACTTTATGACCATTGAGTTTGTTTTTCATCAGATTTTGAGGGGAGAGTTTAGGCATCAAATGGAGCTTAGAGGCTGAAGCTGGATTCAGACTGAAATTCCTCCTGTTTTCAGTAGTAGGAATCAGTCTGTTTTGGCATGAACGCCGTGCCGCTACGCTGGAGACTTCTGCTAAGCAAATAAACACTGATCCCTGCTACTTTCCCCTCCATCCTGTTAGCAACTGTGCTTATTTAGTCTTCCCCATCTGTGCTCAAAACAACAGAAGCGATTTGTGCCTTCCAGCTTTTCTACTCAGATTGCAAATATGGAGGTTTTCATCACCCCGATGCATGCTTTCACATGCAGCTGTTGCACCAGTACAGAAACATACCAACGTGAGCTGCAGATCGACGTGCTTTTTGGGCAACATCTTTGCATTTACCTAACCAAACAAACTCTCCCTGGTGACGGGCTAGTTTACATTCATCAGGACATGCAAATGGATCACATTTCACCGATCGCACTGAATGATTGCAGCACTTTGGGTGGCTAATAGGAATGGTATGAATAATAATGAACAGGCTCAGGTCAGGCAGCGGTGGAAACCCAGCGGCTCGTTCCCTCAGTTGCTCCTGGATAAACACATCTTTCTTCCCATTTTTCCGTGCTTTTATGAGAATGTCTCTCCCATGTGGACATTTGGGAAGTGGTCCCCCCACTCCCCTTTCCCCCCAATATACCCTCTCTGGCTACTGTACAACCACATATTCATGACACTCATTCAGGGGGCCCCTGCCTGTTAATTCCTATGGCCTTACGATTGGCCGAGCCTCTGCTGTCTCCTTCATGTCCGCAACACGCCATGATTCAAAGGCAGCTCCTTCCTTAGCGTCAACGGTATTAAGCGCGACTGTAGCTGCCGTCATAATAAACGAGCCGCCAGACTGCCACTAACTACTCTTTTTACAGTGGACGGGGAGGTGGGTTGGGGAATAAGTAAGTGTGGGGAGCAGAGAGGTGTCTGACGGTCTGCGGTTAACTCAGCCACCGTAAAACAGCAACGCAATGAGCGGGGGTCGTTTTCAAGGAAGTGAACCCAGCCGACCCGAGAGTCAGCATCCCGACTGCCACAGCGGCCCCAGCCTAGGGAAATAACGGGGGTGGGTGGGTATAGGGATTAGCGCGTCTGTTTGCAGAACTCTGTTTCTGTGCTTTGCCAGTCTCGCAGGTGTAGGAAATAGCAGCGTGTACCTCTTAGTGGCCCACATCAAATATTTTCCCTGCTGCCACTCAGCAAAATAACCTGAGATGTTTCGTTCCAATTTGCCACAGCTTCAGTTCTTATTAATCTCAAACTCTCACAGACGATTAAGCGAGCTGGATTTCAACCTCATTTTACAGATCCAAGCAAGATAACTCACCCCCATCCGACCTGCAGACATTTAAATCAATACTCCTCAGACCGCATTTATAAGAGGAGCTGCTGAGATGATGATCATTCTCCTTCCAGGACTAAATATTTGATCAAGACGTGCTCTCTTCTCGTCCTTTGATTTAACAGGATTCTGTGTTAATCTACTAAAGAGACCCTGCTGAAGGCATCACATTGAAATGTTCTCATCACGTGCTGTGTTGCAGTAAACAGCAGGAGGAAACTTTTAAACATTCCCAAACGCCCAGAAGACTTGGCTTTTGTTTCTGTGGATGTAGCAAAAAGAAACCCTTTCTGTTAGCAAGCCTCACACGTGGAATATTCTTTGCCTCGCTGCAAGCTGCCGTCAGTGAATCTTAAGTGATGTCAGGGAAACAGTTGAGTGCAAATTTGTCTTAAATGTGGTTGCTGGTATTTTAAGCAAAGCTGGACCTTTTTGCAGCTTGTCGAGAGCCCTCAGAGAAGCGATTACCCCGCCATCAACCCCGTCGCCCTTGAAGAGCGAGAGCAATCAGCTGCAGCAAGGACCGACAAGCTGCCACCCTGCCTCTCATCCTCTCACCGCGTGTCATCATTCTCCATCTCTGCCTCCCAATCTTGTTTTAGCCATCTCCTCATTCTTCATCCCGATCTTCCTTTTCTCCCCCTTCTCTCCGGGAGCGAATGTTTACATTTCTTGCGACAGACTGTTTCACAGGGCACCATAGTTTATTTTGCAACCCGTGGTGATGGCTCGCTTCCTAGACAAGAGCTGGCAGCTTCTTCTTGCTGATTCCTAGCATGTGTTCATCCGTTCACCTCCTCGGTGGTGCCCCCTCATCTCCTCTCCCCTGAAGACCAACTAGGCTTCCTTGCCTTTCAAAGGCCACGTTGAAGAATTTGACATGCACTTTTATCGGCCTGCTGGGAGCCATTCCGTCTCTCTTTGATACCGTCAGGAAAAGCAGAGATTACTTTCCTTTCAGCACAAACACCGCGCTTCTCAGGCGAGCAAATGTGTTTTTTTATTGTCTGTTTTGGACATTTAAACTTACACCCTTTGCTACAGTTGAAATGTAACAACTCTGTTGGGAGTCCCGCTTACTGAAAGTCTTCTTGTAAAACTCTGTCTTTGTCCAACATTTTCACAATTAGTTTGGTTTGATTCCACATATCTACAGTAGACGAAATGATTTTCTAAATGAAAATCCAACCTTGACTGTAACAAAGGACCGTCAGATCTATAGATGGCTTGTTAAACGCCGTTTGTTTACCAACAGGTCATCCAGTTTGGCGCGGACTGCAGTGAGGATGAGTGCACTTGCCGCGATCCAGATGCCGAGGAGAACAAGAGCAGAGCCAAACACTTGGATGGAGAAGGTGGAGCTGGAGGAAGAATACAATAAGATGGAGAGATAAAAGAGCCTGAACTAGTGTTAAATGAAAGTCAAACCACAAGATACATGCCACAGCAAACAACAAAATGTCAGATTTTGAACATTTTGTAATACAAAGAATGTGATTGAAGTCAGACTTTGTGCAATAAAAGGCAGTTTTTATTACATTATAAGAGATTTTATGATCAAATTGCATCAAATGTGAGGCACGTTGGGTTAAGGCTTTAATCCCTACCTTCAGCTCAGCGAAAAACATCAAAACAAGGTTACACAGATTTCAGTCCCAGTTTGGAAACCAAAGCATATCTGCACTGGAGAAGCAGAAAATGTTTAACCGCCATTTTCTGCAGAAATAAAGTCATTGTAATTAGATGAAATAGCATTTTTGTGAATTTTGACGTGTCTGGCCAGAGAATTGTCCAGTGGATGCACAAACCTCAAGCTGAGGGCTACTGGTGAAAAATATTTGCGCTACATTGACCATAGTAATCACACTGAGGCATGCCTGAAACTCCACTCCAAACCAGTAAGGACCGAATGAATCAACTCAGGAGTCATTATATAAAAAGATTACGCCTCAGTCTTCATACCAGACCAAACAAAAGTCCAGGTGTTGAGTTGTGTCTGACGTGTTAGGTGTGTAAGTGGATACATATCTGTACAGACATATATGATAATATATTTGGATCACCTAGCGTATCTATTGGGACAACTGTTACTCACACACACACCAATACTCTCACACACACCAATACTCTATTAATTAGACAACAGTCAAGTTGAATATGTTATGTTGTTTTAGCAAGTAATGTCAAATAAGTTTGAAAATCAACTGTAAAGCATAAATATATTTATCGTCCTCTCTTGCTCAATACCACTGAATGCTATCCGCACGTACAGCAAAGTTACACACACCTTACACACACCTGTGCCTGCATGTGTGTGAGTGTAAGAGAGGCAGGTTCTTGTGTTTTTAATTCTCCGTCACTGTATCATACCTATGAAAGTATAATCATGTTCTTTGTGATACTTTACTGTACTTTATACACCGTGTAATAAATACTAACTTTAAATGGACCTAAATGATGTGCACTTTGATTCATATTCATTCTGAGAGGAAGTGTGGGTTTATCAGCTTGTAAATTACAGGCTGGTTTGTCAGTTCACACACACACACACACACACACATGCACACAAGTGGCGATGTGTTTCTATCCCAGCACAGGACTTTCCTCTAATCCAGACCGACAAGTAAACTTTGACTGACCTTAGAGGCTTCCATTTAAATGATTTAGATGGAGAAGTACTCACAAGTAAAGTACCATTGTCACTATGAGGAACATAAAGAGCCTGGTTTAATATTATTTAGCTTCATAGTTTTTGGTGACTTGTACCATTTTGTTTGTTTTAATGTAGGTTTTGTGTTAGATTTAGTAAACAAGTAAAAATTACTTGTATAAAGGGGTAGGGATGTATAAGTTTCCACTTCAGCCTACTCCTTTTCAAACACAGAAGAAGGGATGATATGTATTTTTTCTGTTGTATTTTTAAAAAAAATTATGTATGTTTTCTTTGTTTGAAATAAACTAAACTAATAATAAATCAATAAAATGAGCTGGAGGTATGTAGACGAATAGGTCAGCTTGCAGACAGAAGCTTTAGTACTTCTTTATGGGTGTTTTTATTTTGGGTATCCTTTCTAAAGTTGTGGTTCACTCGCTTGATCAATACCTTTGCCTTGGTCTAGTAGGAATGAAAGCCTTGATGAACTCTGGGTACAAAAAGCCCTGGTGCACCTGTTTCAGAATCTAGAAGATTCACAGATCAGTGGAGAGCTTCGGACTTCCTGATATTTGGACATCTCAACTCTGATTAGGTAACAAAGCAACTCTACCACTGAATCCATTCACTTTGCAATACTAATGTTTTATCTCCACAAATGACACAAGCCTGAAGGAGTTCTGCTGTGTGGTGGAGTTGCTAATGCTAATGGTTAGCTCCTGCTAGCTGAGAAATTCCTTCTGTTTCCTGGATGCTAAACCAACAACAGCCTTCCCCGTCGCGAGTCAAGATGGATGAGTTCTTGAATGTTAGTTAAGTGACAGTGTGACGTAGATCTGTCAGGCTTTTCAAATCCCAGAGTTTCCCCGTCTATTTTCTATCAGAAGCTAATGCAGGAGATAGGTGTAGGAGACTATTTTCATATTCAGCCTGCATGAAAAACTCAGAGCCACCGAGTATGATCAGAAATCGTCAATAACATTTATGTTTTCTGTGTTCTACACCTTTAAAACAAATATACAGTAACTGTCTCCAGTCCTTAAAAGCACAGATGTCAAAGTGATGCCATGATTTTTGTTTCATCTAGTTTCTATTGTTTATAAATAATCCTACATACCTGGGTTAGCCTTTCCACCAAACTCGTAAGTATCACGCAACGTATGTGAAACAGTACACAGCAATTAGCCACTGTTATAGTGGATGAGCGCTTTCCCACCAGCCGCCACGTCCACTTTCAGGATGTATCAAACTCTGCAGTTCATATCAGGCCAGACAGGAAGCCAAACACAAGTGTAGCGTAAAACAGCCTGAAACTTTCAAAATAAAAGTCACATGCAGATTTCCAGTTGCTTAACTGTAAAAAAAAGAAGTACATCATATCCCGTGAAACCTTCATAGCCGAGGTAAACAGAATAGATAATCAACCACGGACCTTTTTGGACACATGTTGCCGTCTTTCTCCTTGCTTATTATAGCTATCGAGTGAATTGCTGAAATCCCTCATGAGCCTGCAATGCTACTGGGATTTTTTGACCTCCTGAGACCAGCTGTGTGTGGAATTGTTTTGCTGCTGTTTGGCATCTGAAACACCCCAGAGTAGGAAGGGGCTCATGGGTAAAACACATCACACAAATTTCACACACCAGTGTGACAACTAGCAGGAGTTTAGATTTTTAATTGTTTGTACATCTACAGTTGATGCACTTTTGGACTCAACCCTCTTTAAAGACATAGCATAGTTTTTCAGGTATTGGGCTAAGACATGCGGTTGCTGAGGCTGATATTCATCCCAAACAAATACACTGAGTACCTAGTAATCACATGAGATCTTTGATAAAATTTTCATAATTTGAGTCAGCTTTGTCTGAATTAATGCAGAATCATGTGAACCACTGGATTGATTTTTAAGGAAACTCAAAGTCTTCAGCTGATTACATTTGAAGTCAGCCTAATTCAATGTGGCCACCATCATTATCTAAAGTTGGCAAACAGGACGTCTGCACAAAGGGCAGAGTAATAGCCATTTTCCTAAGTCCCTTCAGATTTCATCATTTATTTGTCATGTTGAGAGCAAGGAGGAGGTTGTCAGGACCCAAGATGCAGAAAACCCCAGATGACATGAGGCAGAAGTGGTTTTAAAAGTAAAATCCTTTTATTAGGAGATGAACCAAAAATCCAAAAAGGGGAGGAAGCCAAAAACCAAGTCCTGAACAACAGGAGTACGAAAGCTCACTTAGAGCAACAAAACCTAGAGATGAGGGGCCAAAGCTCACATAGAGCACAAAAACAACGCTGACACAAACAATACAATGGACCGACAACAACACAGAGACAAGACAGGGCTTAAATAGACTGGGAGGAACATTAGGGAAACAGGAAGCAGGTGTGTGGAGTGAGGGCTGGAGGGAAGACAGGTGACAGCAATTATCTAAATGGGGAAGCAGAACCAAAGGAGGGCAGATAAACACAAAACTGAACTAAAAGACTGAGGGAAGGACTCTCACACACACACAATCACACCCAAATACACTCACACACACTGAATTGGGGAATGGACACACACACACACACACACACACACACACACACACACACACACATACACTCACACACACACTGAGTTGGGGAATGGACACGCACACACCCACACAGACATAGAGCTGGGGACAAAGAGGTTGGAGCTACAACTGGAGGGGATGGGATGATCGAATGCCTACAAACAGAAAACACATAAATGAGACGCAGACAAAGGACACATGAGGGCGCTATGAGACACAAAAGGGAATCTAGAGAGGGATGGAGGACACCAGGAGGCACATGAAGGAAGGGGCAGACGCAGACCATGACATTATTACGCCTTTTTCTATCCATCCATCCATTTAGTTTCCTCCGCTTATCCGGGGTTGGGCCGCAGGGGCAGCAGACTAATCAGGGAGGCCCAGACTTCCCTCTCCCCAGCCACTTGGGCCAGCTCCTTCGAGGGACTCCCAAGGCATTCCCTGGCCAGCCGAGAGACGTAGTCCCTCCAGCGTGTCCTGGGTCTTCTTTTAGGTCTTGCCCGGAAAACCTCACCAAGGAGGCATCCTAACTAGGCACCAGCCACCTCAGCTGGACCCTCTTGATGTGGAGGAGCAGTGGATCTATTCCATGCCCCTCCCAGACGACCGAGCTTCTCAATATCTCTCTACTGTCTTTAAGCTGAGCGGACACTGTGCGACTTTTTCACCTTTTCGAGCCGATTTTCCACTCGTGCGAGAATCCACAAGATAGGGGCGAGTTTTGCGTTGAGCGTCTTGTAGTGTACTGGGGATTACGAGAGGTGATTAACACACATGACCAGCTACCGATCAGCAATCGTGAGCTCGCATGGATTTCTGGTGTGTTTGATATTTTGTCTGTCCCTCGTGAGGGTATCGCACTGTTGAAGCAGCGCTGCGACCCAAAAAGTACCAGAACCGCTCAAAGCGCATGCGCAAACATGCATCTGCAATGCTCTCCAACTATTTCCCTATTAACATGTTGTTCGTTTTTATTTATGTACGTTTTTACGCACACAACAACAAGGATTGTCAAGTAAGCGTGTTTGCTGTGTTTATGTCAAATTAAACTGATTTTCTTTTTTTTCTTTCTTTCGTCTTCTTCCTCCAACCCCCAGAAATCCCTGTGTCCTCCTACAGCACTCCCGAAGGACAACAGACACAAAACAACACAACACAACACAAAACAAGTCTGACGTGTTGAGTAAAAGTTGCTGTTTTTAGGTCCTACTTGTTGCTACCAGAAGTTCAGTGAGAACAGTCGGATCTCATCCAAGAACTGGGTCGTATAGTGTCAGCACGTGACTCATGAGATTTGCTCTGCAGGGAAGTCGTGCAGTTTGAGCTGTAGCCGAACGCTATGAGTGAAAAAGTTGCACAGTGTCCGCCCGGCTTAAGAGAAAGCCCAGACACCCTGTGTAGAAAACTCCTTTCGGCAGCTTGTATCCGCAATCTCATTCTTTCGGTCACTACCCAAAGCTCGTGACCATAGGCGAGGGATGGAACGTAGATCGAACAGTAACTCGAGAGCTTCTCCTCCCGGCTCTGTTCTCTCTTTGTCTAGCATGATCCAACATAAACCAACATCCATCCATCCATCCATCTACGCTCTATGCCATCTTGATCCTGTTCAGGGCTGTGGTGATCTTTTGACTTTCTCCAGCATTCATTGGTTAAGAGACCAGTTCAGAGTCACCAGTTAACCCTTGACTGTGAGAAGAGTCATCAAGCATTAATTAGTCATGGTTAAAATCTGTGTCATAAGGTAATAAATGACCACACACATTTTAAAGAATTTGTTTTATTTTAATTAAACATTTGGACAACAGCTCTTCCCCAAGAGACCAGTTTGTAACTGATCATCTGTAACTTCAGTCCCAATACTGGCACAGAAACTTAACGGTAATATAGAAGCATGAATAACTGGGGAGCACAAATTAGATCATTCAATAGACGAGCAAGCGTTAGCACACAAATGAACAAGTTAAAAACATCCCCATAATTTAAAGTGAATAAAACGAGTTCTTGATGCCGCCACCCTGACAGTATGCCATGCAAATGTTAGATGTTTGACATCCTTTCATTGTCTTTCACTTCAGTCTTTAATGACAAAGGTCAGTGTCCTGTAATCACAATCATTTACATTTAAATCAGTGCATTTACCTTGCAAACACTACAATACACAGCAAGTCTAATGGTACAATACTGTAGCTACTAAAGCACACACCAATGTTGTCAAGAATCACCAGTTCTATATTCATGTACAGAAGAAAGTCTAATACTTTTCTGCCCATATAAAAAATGTACACGCGTGTATTTTAGTATTCACAAGTGGGATTTGTTTTAAAACATGACATTTAACATAAAAGGGCCAAATCCTTTTACATTTGCTTTTCTCTGACTTCAACTGCCCTTGTGGCCACTGTTAGGAAAAAAAAATCTTATAATTGATGCAATAGAGACGCTTCTCCAGATAAGTAAAGTTTAAACACAGATGTGTCTAATAACTGCAAAGAGATTGTGTCTTAACCATGAGAAAACATGTTTTCTGTCTGTCTGAACATGTCAGATAGCATGTTTTGGATATCCCAAGAGAAATTCATTTTTAAATGCAATATATCAACAATACATTCAGCAGGTTATGTAAAGTTACTAAAACTTTTATGACAAGGCTATGTACATGTATTTAAATCTCTATGTTTCTAAAAGAGCTCCCCAGAAATCGTCCCCTCCCGTTGTTTATATAGATGCTCTGTACATTCTTTGTTCTCCTTTTCAACAAAGGCTCCGTCTCTTTGCTTTTGTTCAAATTTAGAGACGCACAGAGCCTGCAAAAGCCTACGGAAGAGGATTAGGGTCATTTTCTGACTTTAATCTCAGAATTCATACTTTTTCTTAGAAGTGAAAAATCTGAATTCTGAGGGGAAAAAAACAGAAATCTGAAATCTGCTTTTCTTTTTTTTTCAGCAGCTCTAATCCTCAATAAGTCTAATCAGGGAAGCTACATCTCAAATCCTGCAGTATGAAAAACTGCAACGTAAAAACTGTTATGCAAAAAAAAAAAAAAAAAAAAAAAAGCCCAACTTATAATCAAACATAAAACGAAACAGTAAAAATGGGTTTCTTTAACAATTGTTTATCCTCTGCTAGACTGCTCTACTCTGAAAATAGTTAAAAAAAATGTGACTAATAGAAGTTGATGATGATGATGATGTTCATGTTTTTATGGACAGAATTCCACATTCAGCTAAAATCTGAAATTTAAATTCATCAATGCACTGGTTGGGTTTTCAAAAACTCACTAAAGGTTTAGGTCCAGACATTGGTGTGCCAGAAACGTGTAGATTTATAATTACAAGTGTGTTTTTCATACAATGAAAAACACTTAACAGGACTCCAACCAAGTTATGCAAGTAACACATAGACTTCATATCTCTAGCTAAACTGCAACTGTTTCCATATTTTTCAATCTTCATTTCAAAGAAGGGGAAATGACTTCAATCCACACAAAAGTACCATGAGCTACAAAACACTGTTAATACATGTTAATGTTAATAATACACTAAAGTCAACCAGTTACTGTGTAAATGGCTTTTAAATGGGTATTTAGTAATAGGATAATGATGTTCTGGGGTAAAATATGCAAAAACTGGATTTTGTTTTTCTAAATAAGGGTTCTGTGTGGATCCAAACTGAAACCTGAACCTTTAGAGCTCCTTGGGTTCGCCATAGTCATTGTACATGACCGTGAGTGTCTGTTCATCACAGGCCTTGTGCACATCCTGGCCCATCTCTGACCAGTTGAGCCCAAAGGCTTTGGTGTCACTGTAACGGCAGGAAAGGAACTTCAAGGACATCCTACGGAGGCCGATCTTTGGTTCCTGAAGGAGACCTTTACACCAAAGGGAGAGCTCATCTAGCTGGGAGAGGATGAGGCCGGCTTTCCTGTTGGAACAACAAAGATGGAGGATTTAAATAAGGTGCTGTAACAGCATCATAGAAAATAAAAGAAAATAGACCAAACATGACAGATTTATTATATTACAGTACAGTGGGACGCAAAAGGTCAGGCAGCCTTGTTAATCTTCATGATTTTCCTTTTAAATTGTTATTTATGTTGCCCCCTTAGAACGAACTGCCAGATGACACATTCTTTTTCGAATTTCGCAACTTTTACTAACAGAAATGTCCGTGGTTCAGAACTCAAGGATAATCTTTTCTCTCTCTCTCTTAAAGGAATAGTACCACATTTTCCTTTCTTTTTAATATCAGTAAGCATTATGGATAACATTTTAACTGATAACATCATATGAACTAATATTTATATATACATATCCTGATACCTATATTGTTCAACACATAATGAAATAAACAGAATAATGAAATTAACAGAATAGATGGAACATATTCCAGTGTGCTACAGTTGTTATGATAAAAGTAATACACATACCGTATCATATAAGAGACACACACAGTGATATTTGAGAAGTCAAAGATTATAGGATTTACAGAAACCACAAATAACTCAATATTTAGTAGATCCTTCTTTTGCAGAAAGAAGAGCCTCAAATAGCTCATTTCCATCAACTGAGGATTGGATCGCTGATTTTTCTGTTCTGATTGTTAAACAGACAACCTACCCGGACCCAAGCCCCCATAATTCGGGTCTGGAAATGAAGCAAAACAGGAAGTAACAAAAATTGCAGTTCCACCCTCATACGCTAGGGGCTGGTGTCAGAAGCGAGCAAATCCTCATTGACTCCCATGTTAAAAATACCAATTTCACAGCAGAAATAAACATGTTTACAGCCTGGTTCCAAAACATGTATTAGGTTTAATAGATCTAGTTTACACTCATGGCAACTCTGAGGAGGGGGGGATTATTTTGTCAGTCTTCTGTTTAAGTGTATTGAATGCCTAAAATTTTGTATAATTAATGAGCATCAGACCCACGTGACCGCTCCATGGAGAGGCCTCAGCCTGAGCCTCGGCCTCGCCTGAAAACTATTCCGCCATTTTCAGTCTCTCAACTTAGACCATTAGTTGTAGCGTTTGTGCATTCTTTTTTTGGATATTATTTGAGCAATTGTTGGACAAAATGATTTGCTGTGGTATTAACTGCACTAATAGAGCGTCCAAGGAGTCTTCACTTAATTTTTTTCGGTGAGTAAAATTATATTTATGTATTTTAGGTCACTGCAGCTCTTGCACTAGCTGAGCTTAGATTTTAACATGCACTGTTTAACCATGAAATTGAAATGTAATAGGGTGAAACCCAGTGCATTTAACATAATGCTGCATTTTTGAAAATGGGTTGAAATATGACATGTTGGTGGAGCTGGGTTCCGACTATCGGTATGGTCCCCTCCCCTCAGCGGCAGCTCGGCACATCATTACTCCCAACCACACCTTTCCAGGTCTCACTGTCGTTGCCCACATGAGCGTTAAAGTCCCCCAGCAGAACGAGGGAGTGACCGGAAGGAGAGCTTTCCAGCACCCCCTCCAAGGTCTCCAAAAAGGGTGGGTAGTCTGAACTGTAGTTTGGTGCATAAGCACAGACCACAGTCAGAACACGTCCCCCAACACCTATGCGGAGGGAGGCTACCCTCTCATTCACTGGGGCAAACCCCAATGTACAGGCACCAAGATGGGGGGCAACTAGTATGCCCACCCCTGCCCGGCGCCTCTCAGTGGGAGCAACTCCAGAGTGGTAGAAAGTCCAACCCCTCTCAAGGAAACTGGTTCCAAAGCCAGAGCCATGCGTTGAGGTGAGTCCGACTTTATCTAGTCGGAACCTCTCAACCTCACACACCAACTCAGGCTCCTTCCCCACCAGAGAGGTGACATTGCATGTGCCAAGAGCCAGCTTCTGTAGCCGAGGATCAGACCGCCAAGGTCCCCGCCCTCGACTACCACCCATCACACACTGCACCCAACCCCTTTAGCCCCTCCCACGAGTGGTGAGCCCATGGGAAGGGGGACCCACGTTTCCTCTTCGGGCTGTGCCCGGCTGGGCTCCATGGGTGAGTTCCAATAATTAGTTCTAAAGGTTTTGGAATCAATAAAATGACAACAGATCTCAAATTTTTGCACCTGTCTAATTCAGTTTAAACAATTATTGCACACTTTCTGTAAATCCTACAAACTTCTTAAATATCATTGTTTTTTTACCACAACAACCAACAATGTATACAGGAACAACACGAAGGTTAAAAGGCTGCCCGAACTTTTGCATCCCACTGTATGTACCCCCTTACAGATTTTGTTTCACGTTTCAAACTGGCCCAACCTAAATGTTTCAGATCAGCAAACAATTTTCAATTTGTCAATACTAAAGACCACCTGAGAAAATACAAAATAAATAAATAAATAAAAAAATAAACAGTTTTCTGTTCTACACTTTTGTTTTTAAAGAATAGCTTTAATTCTGCCACATTAAGAGTTGTTGCATTATTATCGGTTCCTGGAAAGCAGCTAAACCATCACTATGGTTGACTGTTGATGTTCATTTTCTTAAATCCAGTGTTGGTTCTACACCAGATATAAATGGATGCACAACTTGCAAAAAGTTCCACTTATGTCTCATCTGTCCACATATTTTCTTGATTGATCACGTGGTGCTTTTTAAGGACTTTTAGCCTACTTTATGCAAATCTTTAATATGAATGGCGGAATAGGGTTAATAGGCTGAGGTCAGGCTGGTGAAATGTCACTCGGCTTTCCAAAAAAGTGCTAATCACAGTCAACTCATGATTTTCTGAGGGGGTTGGTGGAGGGGTGGGTGAGGGTAAAGGTAATTAACTTATATATATATATATATATATATATATATATATATATATATATATATATATATATATATATATAAGTACTTTTTCACAGCACTAGAAAAACACAAAAAGAAAAAGTGACAGACCCAGTGGTAACTTTTGTTAAAATGTCAAAGCTAAAACATGGACCTAAGTGAAAAAAACCAAACAAACAAACAAACAAAAAAACTATCTGTTCTATCTTTCAAATGAAAGAAAACATAAACAAGGAAAATCAAAGACACACGTCTGGGTTGGATTATGGGCCTTTACAATATGCTACATTCAAATCACCTCCATATTGTTTAAAAAAAACAGACCCCATTAGTTTGTATCCTCTTCTGAGAGATTATAATCCCTCCTACAAACATTTTTCTACTATTTAGGCTCACAAAGATGAAGTCAGTCATTAGCATCCAGGAAATGCAATGCACTGTGGGTTTAGTTAGCTGCCAAGATGCTGGAGGAGGACTGAAACTCTGTCGCGATGGCATGAGATACGTCTGACTGTCTGCAGTTAATCAGTCACACTGAGGCTCTGCTGTTGTTTCAGAGTGACGTGATGAGGAAACCTGAAGCCAGCTCATCTGCTACTGCTGCTCTAGTTCTGAAGCCACTCATGGAGCACGGTGCACCATTGAGGACCTGAGCTGTGATGATGACGGTTAAACAGTGGAAAATGAATAAAGGATGAAGAACTTAATGGATTGGATTATGGGCCTTTATTATGGTCCTGTGAAAGAAAACAGCTCCTATGCTGTGGAGAGGCTTGAACTGTCCTCCAGCCAGACCAGGCCAGCTGAAAAATCATCTCCACTGGTAACATGATGCACACAGTTCACATAAAGACATCTCATAGGAACTCTGAGTGCAATAAATAACCGTTAGACCTGACCTGCAGTCTGTTTGGCTCTTGTTTGTCTAAAGTCAGAAAATGGCAGCAGGGCAAGATTTCATTCATTCCACACACAGTTTCTCCTCACTGTTCAGCCAGTTCAGTAGTTCTGCTGCACAGCATTTCCACTCTGTCAAGCCACAAGTCTGCAGGACATACAGATCATCAATCATCCGTTACAGAAAATCAAGGACCAGACTGAGAAAAGCTTAAATGTGAAGAAGCACCAAAACTGCAGCTTAATCTTTTTTCTGAACCTTGAACAGTAAATAAAATAAACAGAAAAAGCAGAAGAGAGTGTATTAACAACAAACTAGTACAAACAATCTGGTTTAGATTAATGTGATCTGAACAGGTAAAAGTAGCCATTAGCAGTGAGCAAAGAAAACAGTAATTACTTCTTTTTTTGTCTCTGGCGTGTTCCATTCGTCTCGGGAAGCTAATTCAATTCAATTTAATTCATTTCTAAAATACTTTATTAATCCCAGAGGGAAATTACCTGTTTATCGAGCTCACACTAAGGGCCGGTATAAACTTTTTTTTTTTTAACCCTGCAGTGATGCAGGCCACATCTTTGTTCACATACTTGCTGCTGCACTGCGCATAGAACTGGAGTTTTGGGGTACAACCAAAACAAACATGGCGTCAATAGAAGAGATCAGTAACTGGTTAATTTAGAGATTGCGGCAGAAAAATAAGACAGCAGCGATATCGTTGATAGTAAGAAAGACCTCTAAACCAGAGTGACCATGAAGAGTGTGTCTTGCTCATTTTGTCAACTCCACCTACTGGTTACTTGTATATCGCTGCATTCAAATGTATGTTAATTTAAGAGGAAGCACACAAATGACCCTTCAAATCAACGCAAGTTACGCAAGGCAGCCATTTTACACACGTCGTTAAATAGCAGGTATATTCTGGCCCTGAGAATGTATCACACAGCTCATTTTTTTGTGTGTAATCGATTTATTCAATCAGAAATATAACAAAACATAATATAATCATAAAACATAAAGCATTACATTCAAAGTGACTGAAAAGGCTCAGGCAGAAGCAAAATGCTTATATTTCTGCCTGTCCTTTTATTATATTATAATATAATAATGCCCTTGTTAATATAATATAAAAATTAATTAAAACACAGACTGTCAAACGGAAATACCCTCCTCAATTCTGTACCTGGTATAAATATTGTTTTTGTATTTATTTTTAAACAGAATCATAGTAACACATTTCCTTTG